ATGCTCCCACGCTGCCACAATTGACCCTTAGAAAGTGGGAGGGAGGAATTCATTTGAGTATATCTAGTTAGACAAAATAAAATTCTTCTGCTGGTTCAAGGTCACTGAGTGTGGCGCATAATGAAAGGGGGATCTTATTTTAGGACGGATGGTGATTGGACCATGTGATGGCTAAGGGGGGGGATGGATTCGTAGTTTTGATTTTTGAAAGGAAGCCTGAAACTTTCAGATTTGGGATTCCACAGATGTGCCAGTTACTAGCCAAATAAAGGAACCTTTGAGAGATGTCTGTCTCGGAGTTATTGGTTGGAATGGAGGGTTGCTGGAACACTGCAAGTGGTATTTGCCGGTTCTCCGAACTACTCAAAATTTCTGCTACCAGTTCTCCAGAACTGGTCAGAACCTGCTGAATGCCACCTCTGTCTGCACTTACCCATCAACCCCTTCGCCACGCAGGTCTGCTCAAGCTTTAAGGAACTCTGCCTATGTCTGAGTAGACCAGGGGTGGGATTCTACCAGTTTGCATCTATTTGCTAGAACCGGTTGTTAACATACTAAGCAGTTCGGAGAACCAGTTGTTAGAAGAAATTACTGGCCTAATCCTGTAAGGAAGGCAGGAAGGAAACATTCTGCAGTTGCTTACAGAAACTGCCTCTCCATTAACCCTTATTACATTCTTGGCATGACTAAACTTCCTGTCTCAGGAACTTCTCTGGAGTTTTTTCCCCTCCTTTGCTGGTACTTTGCTTGTGTGGAGTGACCATTCAAAGTTACAATGGCACTGAAAAAAGTGACTTATGACCATTTTTCACACTTACGACTGTTGCAGCATCCCCACAGTCATAAGAGGCCAGGCAAGGAGATGCGTGCCACGATGTGAGTGATATTGAGTTGGCCACGCCCAGCCAATATCATGACCACCAAGCCATGCCCACCAACTTAGCCACGCCCACAAAACCAGTTGTTAAAAAATTTGAATCCCACCCCTGGAGTAGACCCCCTTGAGTTGTCTGTCCAAAATCTGAGAAGCTTAAAAAAAAACAGAAAACTAAAATAAGATATTAAGATGATGTTCCTCATTATGGAAAGCTGGATTGATCGGTCATGGTCCCATGGTCACTCAGTTGCCTTCTGGCCCTTCCAACTATCATTGCAGATATCTACAGCTGGTCCTCCACTTACAACAGTTTGTTTAGTGTCCATTTGAAGACAACAGCACTGAAAAAAATGACATGGCCATTTTTCACACTTGCAATCCTCGCAGCATCCCCAGGGTTTTGTGATCAAAATTCAGGCGCTTGGCAACTGATTCATACTTATGATGGTTGCGGTGCCTCGAGCTCACACAGTCACCTTTTACGACCTTCTGAGAAGCGAGGTCAATGGGGAAGCCTGATTCACTTAACAACCACATGGCTAACAACTGCTGCGATTCACTGTGGTGAAAAAGCTCGTAAGATGGGCAAAACTCACTTCACAACTGTTTCACTTTGCAACATAAATGTTGAGCTCAATTGTGGTTGTAAGTTGAGGTCTGCCTGTAATGGGCGTTTTCTGCCATTTGAGGCTGGGGATCAGAATAAGCTATAATGGAAGACCGAAGATAAGTGTGACAGGATAGGATAGGATAGGATAGGATAGGATAGGATAGAATAGAATAGAATAGAATAGAATAGAATAGAATAGAATAGAATAGAAT